GCTTTGTCAGCTGCTTTGAAGTTTGGTCAAGTCGGACTTCTGTTTTGTGTCGGTTTTGTGAGTTGAAATTTTGAGGCTTTTCGTGAAGTCAGTATCGCCGCCCTACTCCGACCGAGGTGAGTTTTGTTAGGCGCAGGGGAAGGTTCATCACTGTAATTATAGTAACGATAATTCTAATGGTGATGATTTAGAGTCGATTGTCAACAGAGTGGACCCCGACATTAGCAGGCATACAGACCGTTATGGCTACTGATGTCGTTTATCATGTGCAGAAAAACTAACATGAAGTGATACCATTCCGAGGTGCTTTCATAATCCGACATTGCAACACTTAGACAATAATTTGTCTTTGTTGTCTGAGACTAAAACGGTGTAACGGTTCTGTGTACGTAGCAGTTATTAAGAGAGGTGCCCGCATTTAATAGGTGCAACGGATAAAAACATTGTGTCCAGATGGCGGTTGCTAATTGGTCCACTTGTATTAATGAGGAAAAATGAAATGTTTCTTCATTAAGGGACGCGTCGATTACACGTGCCCCCTTTCTTGATACCCAACGGTCATAATCGAGGGTTTTATAAATAGCGAAGATTTCAATCTTTGAAGGCTATACTTCTGCGATTTCTGAGTTTACAATTTTCTAAACTTCCTTGCTTTTTTATTTCAATTGCTTATTCGAATGTCGAGTGTGGATTTGAGTAGCTTTCTCGCGCTTAGGGCTTTGACTGATTGGTAATTGGAGCCGGGTTTCTTTTTCTTCTGTTATTTTTGTTGAATTTTTCTGTCATTTTGGGTCGAAAATGTCTTCCACAAACAAGGGTCGAGTATCATCAAACGACAGTAGTAGCAGAACGATTTTCGCCAAATTCTTCGATGATGAAGACTTGGAGTTGGCGTCGGAGTACTACCAATGGGACCCAGTTCTCGTCTAACAACTCGATATTAAAAAGAATAATATCGAAGGGGATTTGGAAGTTGAGAAGAACGCAGTAGTAGTGCTAGATTATTGGAGACGACCAGCATGTCGGTGGCCAGATTTGGACACAGAATGCTTTGGTGAGCCAAGTATTTTGACTGATGCCGACATGGTACTACTTCGAGAGCATGTTCTTGTGCCATCATCGGTAAAATTTTTCGTGCCATATCCGGGGGAGAGAATTACTTGTCCTCCTCCAGGATGTATCGGGATTTTTGTCGAATCTCTTAGGTCGGGTTGAGGTTTCCCTTGCCTAATATGATTGCGGACTATTTCCAGGACTGGGGGATGAGTTTGTGCTAGATTGCCCTAAATAGATGGAAGAGAATAATCGGTTTACTGGTGCTATTGAAAGAAAACGACCACGGTTTGCCCTCGGTCGACGACATTAGGAGCTTATTTTCCTTCAAGAAAAGCCAGTGTAGGAAAGTGGCTGATCCCTTATGTTGTTTATGCTGCGCGGGAAAACCGCAAGACTTAAAGTCGGTGATCTAATAACCAAGGGTTGAATAAGACTAGGAGGACTGATCTGATGATCGTCTAGAGTCTATCCTAGCAACGCTAGAATAACAACTCGCAACAACACAAACAAAACTAAACAACTACGGAAAAAATCTCAACAATATAATACACGGGTGTATAATGCCAATATGAGAATACACTCATAGCCGGGCTTGAAAATGACTTCTCAGAGAGGAGTAATGTAGTTGTATGCCATTGTATGAGAACAACTTGTATATTGCTAAATAACAAACTGAATGGACTAAGACAGTTCAAACAATTATAGAAGCAGTATAACTTAAAACCAAACCTTCAGGAGAGCGTCCCACTCTCTCTTCGGATCTCTTTCATTAATGCAAACAACACAAACATTATTCAAGGGTTTACAGTACAGACTCCCTCTACACTCTACTTAAACAACGATCTACACAACTACTTATCCAACCACAAATCCCTTGTGGTTTTTCACGTTTGACTCCATCAAACTTCACAAAATGAACCTCCGATCACACTTTATTTTTCACTCAATAAAATACAATAAAATCATCACTCAAGAAAATCAACTCACGTTACAGAATATGCGCACACACAAAAATTCCAGATCGAAAGTGCTCCTCTCCAAGTATATCGTCGTTCTTTTATCTTCAATCACATATGGTAAGTCGCGCACTAGACTTTGCTTCCAAATCACGTTCACTTATGGTAGGGCTTGCAAATCCCGCGATTGCATCTTGCATATATGGAAAGTGAATCCCAATTGTCTTTCATTAGACATGTCATAATAAAAC